CAACCACCGGCAGTTGTGAGGCGGTAATTGTCTGGGATGAGAGAATCCGACGCCACAGACTCAGCGCAGCAAAACAACGCTAAGCTGGCAATTCAAGCAGTGGCCTGAGAACCATAATGGCTTTTCCCTGAAGTCATTTTCAAAACATTTACTACCGTAGCCCGTGCCTATTTGCCATCCTTCTCTGTCGGACAATGATTGTGTTCTGCCCGGCAGCATTTATTATTTGTGGGCTGGAAGGGTACTCACATAGCAATAACAGCCCATGAAGGATAAACAGAAGTCACAGCAATCTGGGCCCCGATTAATATCCGCCATAAAACTCCATTCTGCCTACCAAATATAGCTCAGCCTGCCATAGAGCGGACGGTTCGAGCCGTCGCTTCCGGACGCGTCTCCGGGAGCCTCGCGACCGGCTGCGCCACGAAATATCGTCTGCCAATGTGCATATCTGGCGCCGACCCTGCGCGGGCCGTTCGACCGGCGTCCCATCGCCACGCCGATAATTTTCCGGGGTGAATAGCTGAACAGATGAGCTGTGGCCGACGGCCGTTTTTAGAGCTCGCCCCGCCCGGCGCGCGCGCGAACCGCGAGTTTGGCGCGCCGCGGGAGACCGCGCCGGAAACGGGCCAGAGGCGGAGGTGTCACCGCGCGACGGACAGCAACATGATACCGCGCGACCGACAACAACAGGACCGGTGATACCGCGCGACGGATAACGGGACCTGTGATACAACGGGATGGGGGCCAGCAGGACCAGTGATACCGCGCGAAACAGCAGGACCAGTGATACCGCGCGAAACAACAGGACCGGTGATACCGCGCGAAAAACAGGACCAGTGATACCGCGCGATGGGATCAACAGGACCACCCATACTTAATTGTTTATTATGTATTTCACAACATCGCCAACAGGCAGTACCCATTGAGAAGCGAAGTATACCGCGCAACAATACCACGCGATAGCAGAGCGGGGGCGGTACGGGAAGCCAAGATCACAGCACGGAACGGAAAGGCAGACAGAACCGATGTGGGAAAGAACCGAAGAAGGGCGATGAACGACGAAAAAGTTAACTTATTGTGCTCACAGAAACAAAAATAAAACTGTAAAGATACCGAGACTGGTTTGATATTGAGCGGCAAGCATCTCTTTAAGCATCATCGTTGTCTTTTCATGCACAACACATATGTTCTCCACATCGGGCTCAGCTACTTCTCTTGGAAAGTCAGATTAGGTGGAATGCCTCTGCGATTATGTAAAGCATCCGACATGGCCGAATCTCAGCAGCCCCGCAGTGAGGCGCAGACTGTGGCGGACGACTTGGATGGCTTCCGCCTCAGAGCCAGTCCATCGGCCGGTCATCGGGCGGGATCGGGGCGGGATCGAGGAGTTCCGCGCGGCCCGGGTGGGGACGCTCGGTATGCACGCGGCGCGCCGGCGGAACGGTCGATTCGGCTCGGTATCTGACCGCGCAGGCCGCTGTCGGACGGCCGATGGCCCCGTCAGCGCCAGGATGTCGCCATTACGGCGATAATGAGCGGCGACTCACACACCGACGGCGGCAAAATCATCGCGCCAGCAGGCCCGCCCAGTTCTATTGCGCGGGTATGTGTGTAGATGTGAGAATATTTTGCCAAGTCCACAAACACCAACAGTGTTTAACTTGTGACATTGTTACAATAACGTCAAGCTTCTTAAAAAGTTTGGTAGTTGTGATTCAGTAAAAGAAGCATTGTGTGCTATAAAAACATGCGTAGGCTTGTATAGGCTCAACAGGGTTATGCTATGGACCGACTGGTCGTGTCGCCGGCTTGACTAGGGTTGCCAATTCGGTGGAGGTTTGGTTGGTATTTGGCTGGCCGGCGCGTTCGGTGGGGGTTAGATCGGTGCGTTTAGTTAGTGTTGGCCGGTACGGCCGGTTGGAGTCTGGTCGGTGCGCGTTCGGTGGAAGATTGGTTGGTGAGTTTAGTTGGAGTTGGCTGGTTCGCCTTTTGCTGAGCTGTAAGACGGCGGCGGCAGATGGAGATTGAAATGGCTTTGGGTGACAGCGGTACGTCTGAAATCATGACATATGTTTTACGACGACATTCAGAAACGTAATAGCCGTTTTCACGACAGCCATCTGGTAAGCATTTGGTGCACATCTGGTGCAGATTAGGTGCAGATTTGATCAAATTAGGTTCAGTGCAGCCGTTTTCACGACGGCTGCGTTTAGTTAGTGTTGGCCGGTACGGCCGGTTGAAGTCTGGTCGGTGCGCGTTCGGTGGAAGATTGGTTGGTGAGTTTAGTTGGAGTTGGCTGGTTCGCCTTTTGCTGAGCTGTAAGACGGCGGCGGCAGATGGAGATTGAAATGGCTTTGGGTGACAGCGGTACGTCTGAAATCATGACATATGTTTTACGACGACATTCAGAAACGTAATAGCCGTTTTCACGACAGCCATCTGGTAAGCATTTGGTGCACATCTGGTGCAGATTAGGTGCAGATTTGATCAAATTAGGTTCAGTGCAGCCGTTTTCACGACGGCCATCTGGTACACATTTGCTGCACATCTGGTGCAGATTAGGTGCAGATTTGGTCAAATTAGGTTCAGTGTGTCTCTTAGTAGCTATCAGCTAGGGTTGCACTAATTGCTTATATGCCTGCTTTGTCGTATTATCAGAAAATATTACCGATTAAAACACTGAAATAAAATCATAAAATAAAGATATTTTCTGTAAAAGAAATTAGGTGCAGATTTGGTCAAATTAGGGTTACTCGCCGGATAAACGGCTAATATATTCGTCGTGAAAACGGCTAATATATTCTTAGCATGGTAATATCTTAAAAACATCTCTAATACAATTAAAACAGACACATCTTAAGAATTAAGTTTGGTTCCCAACATTTTGTCCATTTTCAAACCATTGTGAAGCCCAGTGTTCTTCGCGGAGCGTTATTTGCAATTGGAAAAGTGGAGCGTGCCTCCTCGAAATGGAGCCTTTATCATGGCTGGAGGAGACGTCTCCCAGATTGCCGGATATTCTAAATCTTGTTGAAGTTGATCCGTGAGCTGTGGCTGTCTGTGCCGGCGGCGGCGGCAGCGAAATGGCCGCGCCGCGCCGTCGCTCGGCAGCCAGTGCAGTGTGGGCTGGCCGCGGGCCCCTGATGTTCCGCCAAATCGGACCGGTCAGATATGGTAACACCAGTGCCATTGTCGCCAGAGCTCTCCGCAGTGGGCCAATGTGAACTCTTTGCCACCCGATAAATCGTCTGCTTAGCTTTGTGCTAAAGCATACGAGCACGCTGCTCGTGATAACAACCGAGTGCATAACAGCACAAATGAAAATAATGGATAAGCCGAAAGTGAAAATGTCGAAAGTCAATTTTCGTGACGTGTCATTTAGCAAAGTTAATAGGGTTAATAAATAACAAGTTAATTTACAGCCAGCGTTCTCAAATAAGAACGTCAAATTAATATTGAAATGGAGGCACAAATGAATATGAATGTTATCGCGAATGGACGGGACTGTCCATTGCCTGTCAATAGTGCTTGCATTACAAATGATAACATGCTCCGTTTCACCCAATAATTATCGTCAACTCATCAGAATTAGCTGCAAATCAGCCTCCAGCGACCCGATGCCAAATAACTGCAATTGACTCGGTTCTAATATGGGATGACGGTAAGGTGATGGGAGCCATTTGTCTGCCAAACACCTACGTCAAATGTTTGAAAGAGACTTTCACTCTTGTCGCATTGATATCAGCTGTTTTTGATGATATTCTCAAAATAAAGCATCATAGACTGTGTGATTTTGTGATTTAGAATAATTTGTGCAAGCGTTTTGGGCTCATTTCCGAGGTGAATTTCATTCAATGAAACTAAAGTCGCATAATAGTGGATAATTCATAGGTCCTGAAACAAACGTAATAACATGGAATTATCTCACTATACATATTGTAGATACAAACCAGAACAAATTCATTATTTAGCAGCTTATCTAATTGAATCACTTCAATTCGATGTAAGTTATAAATACGAGATGATACAAAGATGTACAAAGCAATTCATTTAACTTACATTCACGGAATACAGTTTGGATAAAAATCATACAAATTTTTATAAATTTCTCTCGAGGAAATAGACTTGTCATTTTCCCATAAACCTCGTTTTTCGATCCGCCTTTATTCTTTGCGTTACCATTAAACACCAAAATTCCATTGAGCCACTAACTACCCGTTTATTTGTACAAACGCAAATGATGAATTTCAATGCACGTGTTGTTCGAAAATACTTCTTTTAAAAGCATGAAGCGAGGCAACAAATATGTGGTAGCTTTGTAGCTATATAGCTAAAAGATAGCCTTGGTATTCAGCACTGTTAACCTGAGGCATATCAGCATGTTTACAGAGCAGTTTATCAAGTTATTGAACATGCAATGAAAATCAATAGTTCTGGAACTGCAGCCTCAGGGTGTACATTTAGATACTACTCTGTAAACATGAACGTCTCGTAAATGTTTTAATTGATATATGTTTGTGTGCTAGGAGCCTAATTTATGGTGTTGCAAGTGTGCCATATCCGTTATTTTACACCACCATCCAGCGCTGTTTGTCGGAGAATCTTCCGTCAAAACAGAACAATGTGTCAAAACCAGGATACCGAAACCCAATAACAGAAATTCGGCTACCGCTGCTGAGGACGAGCTGACAGATGACCTAAAGTGCGACCTAACAGCAGCGGAAGCCAGCAGCAGTAACGCTGACGCTGCAGCCCAACAGTCAGCCGGTCCGAGGTCGCAGACGGAGGTTCTAATAGAGGCCGGGAGCTTTATCACAGGAGCCAAGAGCTCGGGAGCTCTGTTACGGGAACCAAGAGCTCAGGAGCTCTGTGACGGGAGCCGGCCGGAGCGGCTTATGTCGGAGTGGCTGGGGTGTCCCCGCACCAGTCTGATTGCCGCGCTGTCGGTGGAAGCGGTCCGGCCGGTCCGCTGTGACCGGCCGCGCTGTGGGACTCACCTCGGACGCCGAGAAGGACCAGCGCGCTGAGCACCAGCACACAGGCCATGGCCGGGCCGCCGCGTCACTCGGCCCCGGCCCGCCACCTCCGTATGGGCGGCGTCTGCGTCACTGTCACAGCGGCCGGCGGCGGAACGTCCGGCCAACACAAACGCCCGCCGCGCCGATGGCTTTCCCCCGCGGTGACGCGTGTCGCCGTCGACGCTCGACTGACGGCGGCGCGTCGGTGTCGATGGACCGCCTGCGCAGTCGGCGGCGCGCGCTCCGACGCCGCCCGCGCCCCGGGCCGGGCCGGGGAGGGAAGGTGCACCGATCCATGGCGATTTGCCGACATCTTGCAGCGGCGGCTCAGCAGCGACACTAATGGCTGTAAAGTGGATACTGTGAATACTATGCTCGGTGCAGTCCTTTGCTCTTGCCGCCTATCCGTAGCTACTCAAGGATCAAATACCTACTGTTGTCAACAACCGAATGGGTGACCAGTGGTCACACCCTGAGGACTGTTCGCTCCTAACCTTATACCTACAAGTGGTCGATTCTGATTATTGCGGCATATTACTAGCGATAGGCAGCCGAGTGGCGGGCATGTTGTGGATAGCGCCGCGCGCAGCCGCGGGTCGCGTCCTGCTAAATGATCCAACTCGTACCGAGGCACCACGAACACGCCAACATGTTTTGCGCTGATACCCGTAACATGTGGGGTAAGCTGATCGTGCCAGGCCATTTCAAATTCGACAGCATCACACAGCTGGTAATCAGTGCCGAGTGCGACTCCCGTCATGGTTTTGGTGCCACGGAGCCAGTTTGGGCCGCCACGCTGTCCCGGCCGTCCGTGTCCACTGGCCGTTTCTGTTCCGTAATCGGCTCTCTGCGGGGGTGCCGTGGGTGTGCGGTGTGTGCCGACGTGCCGACACCAAAGGGCCGAAACTTTGATGGCGATAACAGATGCAGACCACTAACGACGCCGTCTGTTGACAGTGGACTGTCCGGCGTCCACCTCTGTCTGTGACTACCGTGATTTAATTGCTCACCTAATAACTCTCCTATTGTTATCCCGGCCGGAATCGCCAATGACAGGGCTGTTATATAAGCCGACCCGTCACGAGAGGTTGTGGACGCGTTTGGTGACGTCCGCGTTTGTACCCCTTACGAAGAACTGAGCAGAGCGGTTGTCGATTACCTCTGCATTCGTGTAGACAAACCTTTAAGTGCAACCCTGCTAGATTAGCTGGCATATAATGGATGAATTATTCGGCTACGAGTTGCAGACTTTCAAAATGAATATCAGATCATGATGGCTGCACGCTACTACACGAAAGCAGCCAGTGGTCGCATAGACATCGTCATCAAAGGGCTCGTTTTTACCGTGTGATGTCTAAAAGTCCCTCCTGTGACAGGGGCCGGTCCTCCCTGTGACAGGGTTCGTCCTGTGGTGTGCCGTCTAGTCCCTCCTGTGACAGGGGACGTCCTGTGATGTCCAGAGTCCCTCCTGTGCCGGGGCCGCTGTGTACCGGCGGGCCCGCCCGCTCAGGGCCGGCCGGCCGCCAGCCGCCGAGTCGGACACGATCTGCGGCGTCAGCGGGTCGGTGGCGCCGCGCTCAGCGGGCCGGCGCTGTTTGGCGCGCGACGATGACACCGGGAGACGCACCCTGATAGCGGCGTCCGACCACAAATAGGCGGCGAGCGCGCTAAATGGCCAGCGACAGCGGCACACCGCACCACGTCGACTCCCCGTCCGCACTGTAGCATCACAAGAAGCAGCGTCTCCACTAAGCCAGAAACGCTGGATAAAGCAATGCTATATGAATGACGTTTTAAACAAGCCAAGCCAAAATCGTCCTAGGAAATAAGTTAGACCAAACCCCTCAAAATATAGCCAGCTTTCATGGATAGAGAAATTGTCAGTTATTTGATGGCCTTTTATGGTCTTGTCTCATAATCCATGAAGAAATATTACCCCTGTTTTAGAGTATCATAACATTTTACGTCAGTTGTATCATTTCCCCTTCTGGAATTTGACTACACGAAGTAAATCTGCGCTGGACTGTGAAGGGTTGCGGAAGTGGCACAGCTCCGCTGCAGCAATGGGATTTTCGAAAACGACGGAAACCTCGCCTCGTCTGCCAACCCGACCCGACCCCCGCTGGGGCTCCCGGATTTCCATGCCTTGCTGGGGGTTAATCCGCGCCCCGCTGGGGCTCCTGGATTTCCGTATAGCACAAAAAAAAAATCAGTTACTGAATGACAACTGTAATTGGTTTGCGACTGAGACATGGGTTAGGGTGCAGCTTTGACACTGCTTGTCACTTTCTAGGGCCGCTGCGAAGTGCACTTCACATGTGAGCATTGAACGGGTCCTACATATGGTTTCTTCGTTGCGAGGATTAATTATATGCGTGCAGCTTATGAGATTATCTAAAGTGAACCTCACGTATCGGGGTAAATATAATTTGACGAAATTGACCGCGATATTTTGTCGCCAGTTTGAGCCGCTGAGCCGTGTCAGAGCCAATGGCACATGGCGACCGCCCTCGCGTCGAGTTAACGCCTTCCTGAACACTGCAGCAAGCTGGCCTGTCAGATAAAATCGGAGCCGCTTCCGTGAAGCGGGCTGGCCGCTGCTTCATTGGGTCGGGACCGGAGCCCGCCGCCGTCGGACCGTATGCCATATCGCCGAGCTCAGACTAATGTCTCGCCCGGGGTCGGCCAGCGGGCATAACCGCCCTTAATCGGATCCCGAACCCAGTGGAGGCGCCGTGCAGGGCCCGTGGATCAGCGTCAGCCGATCTGGCCGGCCCGGTGCCGGGAGCAAGTGCAGCTGTAAAACCTGACCCGGCTTACTCGACTGACCTGGTCGTAGAGCTGGCAGGCAGGATGCGCCGCCCCGCATAGGTCGCTAGGACACGAAGATAACTGAGCAGCAAATGTACTTACGACTGGAGTTATTGTTTTGGATACCAGACCATATACCACCTGTCAACCTCTCTGAGGCTCGTATGCTCTGTAACCAAAAGCGGCGATGCCACACTCCGGGGCGACAGTGAATAGTCTGTGGGTGAGGCAAGCGCAATTGTAACAGAATACAAGTGTTAATAAGCAAATTCTTGTTTGTGATAGTCTAGATTTGTAGGACCGTAGTTGTTCTTGCCGTTCAACGCACGCGATTCCAATAATAAACAGAATGTAAATACAAAGTTGGGCCTGTATTCAATTCACGGCCACAGAAACCAAAGATAACAAACAAATTGACTTGCCAAGGTCCGAAGACAGACTGGTCCGCCGAGCAGTAAAGACAGAAGTGCACGGCTCCGACTCAAAGACCGAAGTGCCACACCGCGCGGCACCGGCCGAGTTCACGACACACACACACATACGTCACATATACACGTCAGACATACAAATGTACGTCATATCATAGCACCAATCAGAAGCGGGCAAGGACAGGCGTCGCAGGTGAGGAGTGAGGACCATATAAGGATATTGTAAGTGGGCGAGGGGGCTGGGCAGTAAGTAGGTACAGAGGGAGGTGGAGGACGGGGTAGGAACGAATTTCGTTACAGCAATGCGTGATTCTCGCCCGCATTGCTAATCAGGCACCCGGTGTTTTCCACAAACTTCTCCCCTGTGTTCAAACTCCGTCCTCCACCCTGCTCGCCGCGTGTAGTCAGGGCCGGCGGTTAGATCAGCGCGGGCTGAATTAGAATCCACGATGTTACTGGCAATGTGAAAACTTGCTCGAATGGTAGTGGGCTATTTCAAGATTCATGACGTACGAATGTATATTTTGTTTTTATAGGAACAGTGTAGGATGCGGTAAAACACGGAACAAAGACAACATAAACGCGTTTCGATTATTTCATTATTAAATCGTCATCAGCATGATATCGGTGCGAAGAAAGCAAGATGTGTGTTATATTACATATATCTCGGGTCTCCTTTTCTCCAACTCCTTAGTTTCTTTCGTTCGGCCGGTGGAACGTGCCGTGTCCCATTCTGCCGGGGGAGCCTATGAGTTGAGGTCACAGCGGCGCGCGGCCCCGCTCCCTGTGGGGAGGGGCAGAGGGAGGGGAGGGGCAGAGGGAGGGGAGGGGCCGGTCAATCTGGTGTCGAGCCACGGCTCACTGGTCGACGCTAATGGCCATCATGGCCGGGGCCGGCGCGACTACAAATGAAATCAGCACGCCGGCCGGCGCGGCGGCATCGGGGCCGGGAGCTCGGTGGCGCGGCCGGGAGCTCGGCGGCGCCGCCCCAGCACTGACCACGGCTCGGTCACCAGCGACCAGCGGCAGCAGCTGCCGGTGAGGGCCAATCTGGACACAGACAGCGGCGGCCAATTGTCTGAGGCCGAGTGTCGGACCGGCCTGGCCACGACGGCTTAACGGCCGGCCGGTCCGCGCGGCCCCGGCCGGGTCACGGCGGAGCGCCGTGAGGGCACTGCTCTGCTGGCAGCCTGTTCTGTCTGTTCTGGGTCTGTTCTGAGTGGTACCGGTGGGCCTAGTCTGTGTGGGACCGGTGGGTCTGGTCTGAGTTACAGGGACTGACCGCTGAGTGGCCAGTCCGCTGGGTCTGCACCCCAGGGTCTCTCATGTTCTGAGAGCAGGTGCTGGCCGAGAGCAAAGGTATTTACTGTCAGGGAGCAGTTCTTGTGCGCTGGGCAGTTACTGGACACTGGGCAGACACTGAGTACCGGACAGTTGCTGCAGGCACTGGATAGTTACGAGGCACTGGACAAGGGTCCTCGATGGGTCCTCCGCCGATCAATCCGGGACGGCCGGTCATTGTCTCGGTCGCTGACGGGCACACTGGTCGCTGGCCGCGGACCGGTGGTGGTAGTCGCCCGGCACTGGTCGCTGGTCGGCACTGGCCGTTGGTCGGTGCTGGCCGCTGACCGGTGCTGGTCGCTGGCCGGCGCTGGTAGTCGCCCGGCACTGGCCGCTGGTCGGTGCTGGTCGCTGACGCGCTGGCCGCTGGCCGGCGCTGGCCGCCGGACGCCACCAGGTGCTGACCGATTGATCTGGTGTCTGGTGTCGGGCGCGGACCATCCGGGCGGGCCAGCGCGGCATCTGGGGCCGCGGGCCGGAGCCCGGGATGGTGCTATAGAAGAGGCGGCCGGTCGACTTTTTCGGACCGCTCGACTGTTCTTGTCGTCCCTCCCCCGCCGCTGGCGTGTCGATGGGATTGATCTGGCGGCCGGGTCACGCTCCGGACGTG